AATTACACTGGAGAGATTCAGAGTAAACACGCCTTCCTCTCTTGTGTTCAAACTGTTATTGTTTTATATGACTGACAAAACTTCTGTTTGGAAATTTAAAAAATTCCAATAAATTCAAACTTCATAACAAAGTAAATGTTCAACCCAAGATAATATTTATTGCAGATTCTGAAACATTAGTCAAAAGAATAACAAATGAAAACTGAAGGGAAATGAAAGATAAAAATGAAAATTGTTCAGTCAGTTCAGTAATGACATAGTGCATCAGATACCTGGCTCATAGGGTCACCCATTACAGCAATCTGTTAAATTCGGTCATAACTGATGTCTCGAATTAGGCAAGGTGAAGTGTATGTGTCACTAAACATTCTAGTTTTTTTATCAGCATTTATATTTTACTATAAAATCTTAATCTTTAAAGTTATTCACAAAAGATTAAAGAGAAACATTTTATGACAACATTTTCTTGGTATCATTCTTGAAGTTTATCATAAGATTCAATGCTTTTTTATGATGACTTTGCAATATGACTGTTAGTTTTGAGGAGTGTTTGTTGTTACTACGTACGCTTGTAGACTTACATTAAAAATTTTATTGAACTACTATTTTATGAATGTATGTCAATATGTTTGGTATCAAATTATAGATTATAATTCTTAGTTAATTTAAAAGTAAATATTAAAAAAAGTCTTAAGTATAATTTTTTGTGTGGTATGTTGAATGCAGCTTTGGTTCAAATTAGATGTTTGTGATGTTCAAATACAAAGTCTATAGTTTCTTAGAAATTATAAATTCAAATTACCGATATTAACAAGCTAGAATATAAGATAAAAACCTCCTGTCTTTTCTATTTTCCAAGATAATATTATATTTAGTGAATCAACCAAGGTGGCCCCGCTAACTCTTCCACTTTTTGGAAATACTTGCTTATGTACACCTACTTCGCCCAATGACATGTATAACCAATCGAAAGCTCAGAATGTCCCTATGATGATTTTCTCAGCCTCTGTGAAGTGTTTACGTGGGAAACCTTTCTTTTCATGACAGAACCCAAGTGGTAAGGTAAGATATTATGGAGCTCAAAAAATCATATTTATTTAGACCCAAATACAGCTTAGTTACTAATCCTGATAAATTATAGTGGAATTCTGTGGTACTGATATAGTAATTTATTATTTTTTATTTCAAAATGCATATATAAAACCTAAAAAAATATTTTGTTTTAGATCCTCCACGTGTGAAATTTGTCAAGGCTTAGCAACTTACGGCAAGCAGCAAGTACAAAGTTTGTAACTAGAAGAGATAATTTTTTCTATACTTCTTTATTCACTGTTCTATGTTTTAGGAAAAATAACTGAAATTTAAGAACTACTTTATAAATAGTAATAATGAAAGGTTATTAAAATAAAAATAACAAATATATATTGATGTATAATGTTATGAGATTTAAGCTATTTAGACTAAACATTTGTGACTGTGTTATAATTTGTAGTCATTCTAGAATGAAAAAGTGTAACTTAAATCTCATTTCTCAAGAAACATCCCGAGAAGTACTGTACACAGTTGGAGGTAGAGGGATTTTGATCTTAAAACGGCAGGAGAAACAAAATGACCAGCAAAAGTCAGAATTCAGGAGCATAATATATACATAGGATTACAATACCAAACTATACGTAATAACCCACCATATTAGAGTAGACACTTATGTGCTAAAATGAAGTAATACTAACCAAAAAAAAAAAGGATATTAAATACACGATAAAAATAAAAAGAGGCCTTCTACACCCACAACTGATAACACTCTGACAACCAAACACAGAAGACAGTGTCTGTGGTTAATCTTCTTTTCCAACATGATGAGCTATTGTAGATAGTTCAGTATTTATGAGTCTTATAGGTCTATTGTACTCTGGAATTCTGTTTTCCGTTAGTCTTTTTGTTTCTCTAAAGCATTAGAGTCCACATTTACAAGAATTTTTTTTTTACTCTTCACTGGTGATTTGGTATGCTCTAACTACTATCATATCATGATGCGACTTCTGAAGCCTGCACTGAATTATTCTGTTTACATAGACTTAAAATGTTTTAACAAAGATCTCTTGCACAGTGGAATATGGCTGTGTTTCAGTTATTTTCTTCTTGTTTACATTTGATAGTTGTATTGTAGTTTTTTTTTTAATCAGGCATCCAGGATACTTACTGTTAAGAAGAGCATTGTGATGTGTGTCTTTTTATTTCTCTTGGGCATCTTCTATATTACAAATCTTTATTCAGAATACACATTCTAAGATACCCATCTTTATGTTGTTTGAGTGGTTTAATCTATAATCATGATATTAATCAGTATTATGGATTTTCTACAAACTCTTACATTATCTGAGATAATCTTATTCATGATCATCACATTTAGGAATAGCAGATTGTTATCTTTTCTATTGTTAATTGTATCACTGGATGTTATCTGTTCATGAACTTGGAATCTCAACAGAGTGCGACTATATTGCGAATATGTTCTCAATTGATTTTGGGTGTTAGAAACTGTTTAGAGGGCATTATTTTAAAAGCATTCTTTGTAGAGTTTACCCAGTAATGTTGTTAAGGCTTAACCACAGACTGCAGATTTGTAGCTAAAATATAGGTATAAATTAATTTGTAATTTGTATCTAATAGTAGAAGTTAGTCTTAAGTGATCATATAGTTTTTGGTCATCAGAGAGAATAGTCTGTCCAAAAATATCAATAATTTTTTTTGTGTTTTCCCCAAGTCTAATAGAATGAATGTTTCCAATGAGAAATTCACTTTCAAGTTTTAATGCTTCTACAAAAAGTTTAATATTTCCAAAACTTTAGTGTGATTCTTGAAATTACTTCACTATTTTCCTATTTTACCTGATGCTACAAAGAAATATCTTAGACATATACTTTACTAATTTTAGATTACTATAAGACTTATATTGTGATTGATGTATTACTTTATCAAATAGCTGAAACACTCTTACTCTTAAGCTAGATTATTACCAACTTACTAGTCCAAAATCTCTATATTGCTATGCAAAAATTCACATTAATCACATTTTTAAACTAAAGAAAAATAATGTTAGCACACATAACATATTATATTTTTTAAACGTAAGCTGTTTAACTCTCTCACAAAAGGCTCGGTCGATTCTACCTAAATATTGACCCCAAATTGATCTTTTTAGTCTCCATACTATAACTTCTAATATGTTTTGTGGATCTTCAAGAAATTTTGCAAGCTTTCAGTAATCATTAAGTGCTTCGTAAACAAAACATCAGAATTTTAATTAAGTATTTTCATTAAAAATTTTAACATGAATATATGAAGTCAAAGTGTTGACTGCTCTGAGTGCAAAGTGATTCTCATACTAAGATTAAAAAATACTTTTCTTCATCTGCAAAATTTCAAATTTCATTTGCATAATCTCCTCAATAAATTTCACACATTTTCTTTCAGTAAAACTTTATATTTTATCTGTTATTTTCTCTACTCTAACTCTAAACAAAGTTGGTGACATTGACCAACCTTGTAACCACCATTAAAAAATATGAAGTAAATAAAGAATACACATGCAAAACAAGGAATACGTTACTTACTTTGGTCTTCTTTTTTTTGCTGTCGACTGTTGATGAAACCTAACCCTAGTTTTTTTATACTAATTGTACTACCGTATTAAATAACTTATTTAATTAAATAATATATCAAAGAACACAGAATAGTAACACCTAAAAAGCAGACAACGTCCTATAACTATCACAATTTTTCTGGCTTTCTAACTATGTAACAGGAGCCGTTAAAAATTCGGCTCATTGATGTGTTTCCTGTGGGAATACAGTTTGAACTGGAAGTGAAATAAACAATTCTCTGTACAGAAAACAATGTAATATGATATGTCGATTGATAGATTAAAACTTTGGCTTTCTATTTATTATAAATAATACAGTATTAAACATCAGAAGGAAGGGTACTAAATAAATTAAAGGGGAAGATACCTAAAAAACAAATGTCACAATTCTCATACTAGGGGTTATTGAGGATTTTTTTTATTAATGCTTTATAAAATAAGAACATGAAGACATGCATATATTATAAAATTTTATAGTATGACTATTCTCATGGTTACTTTGGTTATAGGTTGGGTGAGATCATAGTCAAAGAGTTAGTTAAGTTTTGAATTTAACTCAGTAAAACCTCATGACATGCGCACAAAAGGATGCCCATAGCAAGAGGGTTAATAAATGTTTAAAAGCCAATGTTAAATTATACAACATGGAACCCAAAAAGTAAAGCCAATACAACAATCAAATTCAAAATCTTCTTACTTTCAGACAGATATTAAAATCAACCTGTTAAGTTCTGATAGTAGATCCAGTGATTTTGACAAAAATCTGAAGTTATTCATTACAATAATGAAGGAAAAAAAACTGGCTAAATATAACCTTTATTAATGTAGAATTTTGAAAAATACATTTTACTTCTTAAAGACACCTGTTACAAGTTGTTTGTTTGATGATTTGTTACATTATTGACTATCATAACAAACAATTCTAAAAATTAGAGTTGATCAAGATAAAGCTGGGTCAGAACTTGGCAAAATTGGAAGTACTTAAGTTATACTAAAGTGTTTTTAGTTTTCCAAGGTCATGATATTGGTAAACTGTTCAATAAAAGCTAATACAGATAACATTTTAAAACTATATGCTTCAATGAACCTTATTATTTTTCGTATTAATAATTTTTTCTCAGAACTTTGACACTCATATGAACTCTGAAAAATGTAAAGTTTGGTGAATACGTGTATTGTATGATGTCAAAAAAAAACCTTTTTAACAAGATCATTTTTAACAGTCTTACACCCATTTTGTTATCCTGCCTGTTATATCTAAGTTGTTTATAAATGTTACTCACAAGTCTATAAGTAAACATAAATATATAAATCTTTATTCAATATAATTCCACCCAGAAATTTTTTGAATAGCAAAATTCCAATTTTCATTAAAAAATACAAAAATGATAACAGATCAGAAGCACTTTTATAAAACTCTCACCCACCCATTGAAAACAAAACATTAAGCATTTAGATGATTAAATATGGTTAACATTACATTTTGTTTTATATTAATAGTAACCATAATGAAACTTCCAATATGATATATTATCTCTGTAAACCATTTTTCACTTTATGATAATATATTTATTATTTACTGCACTTTGATGAAGAACTGCTAAGTTGTAAAAATTACACACACAAAAATATTTACATTTTATTTTTAATTAGGCTTAAAACTTACCAAGTGAGAATTCTGTTCTCGGAAATTAGCAGCATTTTCCTGGATTTCCATGGAAGCTGCAAGTAGTCCAGTAGCATAAGACTGAAGAGGAACGGGAGCCTTTTCAGCCCAATGAAACAGCCTCTGCACAAGACCTTCCTGTACACAAAAATTATATGTACAATTAAGAAATACTCATCATCAAATAAATAATATAAACTTCCTAGGCAATCAGAATTTTGTTTTATGTTTTAAGTTTCTGTAAAATGCAAAAAGAAAAAAGTTTTTCAAATTATATTTCATTAAATATGTTTTGAAGCAAATACTGACAATCCCCCCCTCCATTAGTAGATTTAACAATGGCTTCAATTGCATCTGAATATATCATATAAAAATCTATACAACTACACTATGATACTATTTCATCCTGGTGAACAAGAATGTTCCGCTATTCGGTAATGAAGACTATGATATATATATTGTATGTGACAATCAAAAATCAGTAAATCTTAATCTGGCTACTAAATGCGTGCACAGAATAAAAAGGTGTTGATAATCACAATTCATTTGTTAAGAAACATTAATAATATCAAACATAAAGCCAATTTTATTTTAGTAATTCTTTGAAAATAATTATCTCAAAAAACTTGACTTACAGTATCTTGAAAAATGACAGCAGTTTCCAGCCCAGGTAATATATCAAGCAGCAAGCGACATGCTACTGTATTTAGTTCTCTGTTTTCTCTGTGAATTATGTAGTTACTAACCAACTAAACAGAAACAAAAAAGACAGATTTTTTTTTTTAACACTGACTAATATTGTGATGTTTAAAGTCTACAATCACACAGAGAAAAGGACTTGATTCTGAGGCAACTTACTATTGCATGATATGAGAAGCAATGTTTTTTATCCCATCTGATAGTACACTAGTCAACACTTAAAACTACTACATATACAAAAAACCAGCAAAAAAATCACTTTTAAATAATTCTTGTTCATGAATTAATTCAGTTTTTCTCAACCAGGGTGCTGCAAAATTTTAGCAAAATATTGTAAAAAAAATTAATAAATTGCTACATCACATATTTGAAATTTTTTTGTGTGTATTAAAAAAAATGAAGGTGGCCAAATTTCCTTTCATCTACGACCTTATTGGGGTGTATTTCTATGACCCCCCTGGCTATGCTGCTATTAACTAGGCTGTAAAATGTGGAAATTGTAGACTATGTGTAGCAGTGTTTTGAGGAAAAAAAGTTTGAGAAACAATGAATTAATTCATTTATAAACAAAAAGTGATTCAAATTGGAGATCAGTTCTTCAAGAACATTTTCCTTCTTCTAAAAGTCATTTATGAGCACAAAACAAATTTATATTAACAAAAAAATAAATAAATAAATAACTTTATCCAGCATATTTTAGTATGACTGAACAAAATTCCACAAAGATTAACATAAATTACATTAGAAGACCAGTTTATTAGCATTAACTTAGCAAGCATAAAATTATACACAACTTAAGCAGCATAAATATATGTATTTATGCCTTTATTTTCAAAGTGGTTTGTTTGTTTCAAACATTGCACATAACTACATAATGGCCATCTGCCCTAACCATTTTGAATGTTGATTAATGATACAATAGATAGGACATAACTAGTCAACAGCACTCACTGTCAACTTTTGAGATATTCTAATCAAATACAGGGACTTGACTGTCACTCTTATAATGCACCAATTTCCCCAAAGTGGAGGGTACATTTTTGCTCTAGAAGGACTTGAACCATGAATCTTCACAGTTCAGCAGATTAACCACTGTGTCAAGCCCAGCTCTTTTCAAAGTAGAGGACGAAAACAAATTACTCGACCTCAAGTTTATGTACGTGTCAACAATGCACTTTGTTTACAGTTTCATACAACAATCTTTAATCCAAAATTTTTCTGATATCTGATACCAGAAACCCTAAGTAATTGTACTAACCTTATTCATAAAATCATCATTCTTAAGCAGTGCTTTCAGGAGCAATCCGAGGGTACATTCTGGGTGAGCTCGACCTAAAAAACATTTTTATTGTAAAGAAAGTAGTTCTAGGCTTATTAAAGTACAAAAACTTGCATATTGAAGCATTCACTATAGTAACTATATACAACACAATTAAATGATTTCATTCAGTAGTATACTTGTTAATAAGTCAGTCAGAGAAAGCTACCATTTGGTATAACACAAATAAAATATAGGTTCATGTTCAATGACAGCTAACATACAAGTATTTACAGCCTTACAGAAAGTTCCAGGTTGTTCTGTATAATTTCTTTGCCATGGAAGGGTATCCTTAAATAGACAGTACAAACTTAAAGAGTACACTGTGATAACATCATTTGAAAATAAACTTTTCACCCTAGTCGTTACCATGTGAAGTACATATTTAAAAAAAATTAAAATTCATTGAAAAATTGCCAGTGAGCCAAAATTCCTCACTTCAAGTGAAGTACTACATTTCAGCTTAGTACAAAAAGTATATGTTTTTAAGCATATGTTCTATTGCAGCACACTCAAGGTAACTTAATTTGTAAAATAATGTATGCACTTTTTATCACTTTGCAAAAATCTTCTGAAGAAAACCTCTTTCTTGGAATGAAATTGCTTGCTAATACTTTAATCAAATGAAAAATCTGCATTAATTTTCACTTTATATGCAAATAGTTAAAATGTGAAATTACTTGAAAAAGAATTTGGTGCAAGCTTGCTCTCACCATGAGTAATTATGTTTTTCTTTGCTTTCTAATTGTCAGCATACAATAAAGTGGCTGATCAAATTTTTTTTATTAATCATTTGAATGAATACATTTTTTTTTGCCCAGATCACTTTTATTCTCAAAGTATCAGTAGTATCTAGATAATTAGAAAATGGTGCTCTCTCTCTCATACTATCACCTGCAATTTTACGAGGTGTAGTTGTTAATACGGGTTCTTTACCAGCACTGACACTAAGCATAATGCTGTCATCTGGTGTAGGCTACGTGTTTACAAAGTGATACAAAACTTCTATTAGTGATCTTTGATATTTAAATTTTCATATAACATCTAGGAACTATTTACTTGCATTTAAACACGGTACTATTTTCTATTTAGGATATCCTATCTCATTATAATCACTTGTTGTATTTGTCTATTTGTAATCCAACATCATTGACACCACATTTTCCACCAGTCACATTTCAGATTCTGACAAAATAAAATAATCTTGTTTCAGCAAGTAAGAATAAAATTACATTTCAAAAATAAAGAAAGTTTAACCCTCTCCACACAGGTTACGGGTCAAATACCACGTCATCGCGTTTGTTGACTCTCATTCAAAATTTTACTGAACTACATTTTATTAATTTATGTCAATAAGTTTGATATGAAATTGTAGATTATAGTTCAAATTTTAGTATTATACATTATTTAATTTCTTAACTGAAAAGAAAATATTAAAAAACAGACCTAAACATCAATTTTTGTGTCTGTCACTTGGTATGTTGAATGCAGTATTGGTTAAAATTCTATGTTTGTAATGTCAAGTCTATAGTTTTGTATGAATTAGGAACCCAAATTACCGATATTGACAAACTAGAATATAGAACAAGAACCTCCTATTTTTTGCTATTTGCTGAGATACGGCTCATGTACTGATTCAAACACAATGGCTCAATTCACCTCTTTCCATTTTTGGAAATGCTCCCTTGTATAACACTTCTGTCTATGACATGTAAATAATCAATCAAAAGCTCAGAATGTTCCCCTAGTGGCTTTCTCAGCCATTTTCAAGTATTACAATATCATCTCATTCTTTCAATACAAAACCTCAAGCTGGTAAGTTGAGTCTTTAGTTTGCTCGAAATTTCATATTTTTTTTACCCAAATACAGCTTAGTTACTAAGCTTGATAAATTATAGTTTCAATTTATGGTATCGATATAATAATTTATGATTTTTTGGTTATTTCAAACATGTATATAAAACTTAGAAAAATTATTTCGTTTCACGTGCAAAATTTTATAAGGCTTAGCAACCTACAACAAGCAGCAAATGACTACAAAGGTCATAACTACAAGATATAATTGTTTGCTTTACTTTTTTATTTACTGCACTATATTTTAAGAAAAATAAGTTTAAGAACTTATTTGTAAATAGTAATAATGTACAAACATATAT